AGATGCCCATTTGCCAGGTCTGGCAGAGCCATCTAAGTGATTTTCGTGGCTCTTCTACAATCACACAGAATTACATGATCACTGAAGTTAGAAAAGACATCAGGAAATCATCTAGTCCAGCCCCCACTCAAACGACTGTCAGCTACAGCTGGGGCCATTTGTAGCCATGTTTTTAACACATCTACAGAAGGAAACTACAAAATATCTTTGAATGCCTTCACAGTAAAAAAAGTATTAGTTTTTAATGCTTCCATGTCCTTTATTTCAATTTATGCTCATTTCATCTTCTCCTTTTGCTGAGGACCACTGAGAAGAGTCTGAAAAGAGTTCATCTTCTTTACCCCTTCCAATATCAAGCACTCTGAGCCTCTCTTCATATGAGAGTTCCCCAGTTACTTGGTAATTGTTGTGACTCTTTCAGTGAACTCACTCCAGTATACTCACGTTTTTCTTACCGGGGGAAAAGTTTTGCATAACAAAATTTTTAGGCACCTCATAACTTTAAGCTAACCTTGACATCAACATTCAGAAGTATTTTGATGTCTGTTCTGAATACATGATTTGTAAATGATCAAAAAAGTTAAGTGGGGACTGAACAAGGTCAGTGTATAACAAACAAATCACAGAAGTACGCCCATTTATCTCTGCCATTGTAGTAATCACAATTCTCAAAACCCTGCTTAGCTCCTCCAATCCACAGAGGACTGGAGACCTATTTTGGTGACCTTTACAGAAGTTGTCAGAATACAACTTTCTTCCATCTGACCCAGTTACAACTTATTCAGAGTTTGGCACTCTCAATGGCAGAAAAAAATGGAAGGAACATTGTGGTTCAGTTTAGATTAAGTTTACGGGTTTGTAACTGTGAAATAGAGCTTCTGTTTTTAAATAAAATGAAGTCTACAGTCTTAGAAAAAAAATAATTAAAATGTCTTGCAGAGTTAGTTCTGGGGTGTTCCAATATCTGTAAGTATGGCTAGGGGTTTGTTTGTGAGAAGGTGTCTATAATTTAACACTGAATGATCTTGGCCTGCAGCAGTGGGTATCTCAGATCAGCTTAGCTTCTGACAGACCCTTCCCCACTCAAACCAAACATCAGTGTTTGAAAACTGCAATGATTCCCAGGAAAAGTCTGGAATATGCAGTGTTCAGGAAGAAGGATAAGAAGATGATACATGGAGGAAGGGTGGTGGGGAGAGTTAATGAGGAAAACTAAAGGACAAGGAAGGAACAGAATAAATAAAATGAGATCTTTAAATCTGCAGAGTGAATTAGAATTCACTTCAAATTCTTCAGAATTAATATGGGCAAGTTTCAGGAATAAGAGTAATATTTGAAGTACTGTCAACTTTGAGAGACACAGTAGGGATGAAAGTGCATGAAGAGACTGGAAAGATATCTTTTGAGACAAAGGAAGTCACTATGACTTCCTGAGCAATAAAAAACAATGCAAGGTGCTGCTACAGAAGGATCCTTCCTATCTGATAACAAATCAGATAATAAACAAAATTTATTAGATAACAAAATTTGGTGGGGATACTGGAATAGGAGTATATTTTTGCTACAATATTTTCCCATCCAAATAGGAAGTATATTATAGTATTTATAGTCCAAGAATTGGCTAGTACTGAATCTGAACTTCCAAAGCCACAACGTGCAGTTGTGCCCGTTTTCAAATGACCTGACTGCACCAAGTGGAGCTTGGGTCATCTTAGTTATGCTCCCTAAAGCTAGTCATAAGCCATTACTGGCTGCCCAACAAGCCCAGCTTTGCTCAGAGCTTAGTGTCCTAAGAGACCATTGTAGCAGTGTTTCACTGAGCCATCTGCAATGTATCAGCCTCCTCTGGACCAGCTCTGGACACAGAATCGATGATGTAGTCTCACCAGTTCCAAGTAGAGAGAGAGAGAGAGAGAGAGAGTCACTTCCCTGACTCCACTGGCCACTTTCCATTTAATGTAGATGAATTATACAGCTTGCCTTTCATGCAGAGCGAGAGCGTGATGAGTCACGTCCAGCCTAGCTGCACCTCCACCCCAGAACCCCTGGGTGCTGTCCAGCAGGACTGCTGTGCAATTTCTCCTGCACAGGATTACCCCACCTCAAATGCAGACATCTGGGTTTCATCCAAGCTAATGACTGGCAATAATTCTGAATCTTCTGAGGGCCAGCACAGTGGTATTGCCACACAGAGCAAGGAGAACAGCAGCCTCAACCACAGCTGCTATTATTGGAATTCTGAAGTAATAAATGCTTCCCTTTCCACTTTCCCTTCAGCACCACTCTACTCAATTCCTAATACTTGGTGACCTTCACATGTACTTACACATGATATATTTAAATTCAGAAGATGCTTTTGACACCTCCTGACTTTGCTGCAAGTGCACTTATACTACCATGACATTTTCTTCACGACAGTTTTCTTTTTCTCAAGATCTAACAAAACAGGGGTTCAGAAATATGTTTCCAAGATAGTTCCAATAACCAATTATCACTCTTGGGTAATGGGTGATGTCAGCAGGATTTGTATTCACATGATGGGGGTAGAATTTGTCCAGTAAGAAAGCTTACATTCTTCAAATTCAGTGTTGCTGTGAATTTCAGTATCAACAGGAACTTGCACTGAGCCTCATATCCTAACTGAAGGACTGGCCAAGTGTCTTTGTATGCTCACAGACATCTGTGTATGTAAACAAACTGCTCCGAGTCTCTTAAAAATTATTACAAGGAATAACTTCTACCTGATTAAAAAAAAAGGTTTCAGCAGGACCAATCATTTTCCGTTTGGAAAAAAGAAGATTAGAGAAAACCGTGTGTATGTTTTCAAAGCAGTTTCCTCAATCATATATAGAACATAAATGGAGCGAAGACACCAACCATCTGGCAGATTTCCAAAGGAGCTCAGGACCAAAACATTCATCCTTATGCTGGAAACTAAGAGACTGGAAGGCTTTCCCAGTATCTGTAAAACATCAGCACCACATTCAAGGATGAGCAGTCAGGTATCATCTGTGTTGACAAAGAGGTGGAGGAGGACAAGAATAGGTGCCAGGCTAACTCATGAAGTATCTGAAGCATAGGAGAAAAGGATATATTAAATCTCTGCCTGCCAACTTTGCTAGTTGCCGAGTGCTTTTGAAAATCTGATGCCTCATTTAGCTGACTAAAGAGTGATTGAGCTGCACCAGAAATACAAACCCAGCTGTCAGAGAAAACTGGAAAATATGTTCTGGAGTAGTTTTTCAAAATCAAATTCTTTTTTTCTATATAGAACACTGGTTTATTTTTAAATGTTTAATTAGGCTAAGTTTAGCTGTGTGTATTACCTGAAAATAGAAAAGACACACTAAAACTATGCAGGTTAGTCCAAATGCATGCTGACTAAAACTGCATGCACTCACTAACCACCAGATATTCATACCATAGCAGAGAAAAAACATTGTGACAAAGATTGCAGAGACATTAAATTTTTATGCAGATTATTTTTTACCCTTACCCCTTCACCTAGAAATTGAAGTACTTGGTGAGAAAGAGGTCCATAGATCCAAATTACGAGAGTAGCTTTGGAATACTTGGCCATGACAAATACTTGGCAAATATGTTTTCATATTTGAAGGGTTTTAAGACCTTCAAAAGCTCTATGAGTGTCACAAAGAAAAGGAGAGATGACCCACTTCCACCTCTGTCATTATTTAAGCCTCATGCCTAGAAGGTGTGAAATAAAATTCTACTACACAAACAACGGAGGTGTGGATGATTACTGAAAAAATTAGCAGTGATGTGGAGTTAATGAAAGAACTTGAGGTGTCAAAATAAATGTGAGATGAAAGGAACAGAGGGAAATCAGAAGCCTGTGAAAGACTGAGTGATCAAATGGCTGTGCAAAGTGTCTCACAGAGTCCAGTTTCAGTCTTTATGGAAGGCGTGTCGAAAATCTGAATATTCTCGTATTCTGAAACCACTTCATATGCTACCATTGTGCCCTACATGACATACTCTCATTGCCACTTGACATTTCAGCATACCACACAGGTAGGTTTCTCACTTATTGCTGTGTGACTTACTACAAATTCCTGAAATCTAACATATACCTACTGATCCGTTTCTGAGCAAGAATTTGTGAGGGTCATTCAAGTAAAAAGGAGAAATTCACCTATTTATTTTTCTTGGCCCCACATCCTCATCCCCATGGGGCTGGAGAATAATTTTGCCCTCTGCTCTCTAATTCACATCCTCTATTTCCATTCCCCCACCCCCAGGAATATGTCTGCCTCCTGTGTGCCCAGGGACCTCCTGGTTTTTGGCAATACTTCATGGGTATGTCAGCATTCCAGAGGTCAGCTGAGGATAAACTCTAATTGAAATATATTAAAATAGGTTGCAAGGGACAAAAATTCAAAACCCCAAATCTATCAAAATCTGTTACTGATGAAGCATCTGAGCTGGCTATGTCCTTAAAACATGCATCAAAAGTAATCTTTCAAACCTCTTCTTCAGGTCTCCATTGGCACCCCCAGAGGAAATAATTTGAAACTGTTCGGAGAGCAGCAATCCTGTTCTGGTCCTTGAAATCCTTCGAGCAACACACACCCACACACCAGCATTATTTTCTCACCTCCTCCGTATAAAAACAAAACAGAAACGTGAGAACAGTGGGCTGGAGATGGAGCTGCGGAAAGTGAAGTTGGAAGGATTAATTATGTAATACGCCCCCTCTCCCGCCCTTACCCACAGCAACACGAGCGAGGTAAACCCAATCCTCCCAGCTGACAACTCAGAACTAGAAAGCGCCCGGAGGAGTGAAAGCAAAATAAACGTGTGGGGAAGGTGGCGATGCACTCCTACAGAGGAAGATGTCATTAGGAAAAGGCTAAAAACAAGTTCAAATCACCTTTAGCCTCTTCCCTTCCCTCCCCAGCAAGACCTCTCCCTCCGCCTCTTCCCCTCTCCTCCCCCCAGCTCCTCCTCCCCCCTCTTTTCAGCAGGAGCTGCAGCCGGATCGGGACTATATTCCTACAGTTCACGGCTCTCTGGCGGAGTGTGGATCCTCCTGAAAAACTCCAAGTAAAACAGGAGCTGGGAGCACACACACGAGAAGATATATTAAGAAAGCAGGTTTGCTACTTAACTCGGAGGAAAGAAGCTGGAGCAGACTTCTTGGGTTGCTCTCTAAGAGCCTTGCCGAGAGTCCTTGCAAAGAAAAGTGTTGCTGATTCAAAAGAAGAGGAGGGATGGGGAAGAGGAAAAAAATTGTGCATGTCTGTGTGAGAGGGAGACAAAGTGTGTGTGCGTACGTGTGAATGCGTGCTTGTGTGTGAGAGGGTGTAGGCGACGGGTGGGGGGAGCTTGAAATTATATATATTTTTTTTTTTTTCCTACGAAAGACACGTGAATGCAATTCCCAGTGAGGGGCACCAAGCTCTGCCCAAGAGCAGAAGGGGTAGGGAGAGGGAAAGGGAGAAGAGAGGGAAGGGAATAGGAAAGGGAAGGGGAGAGGGGGGGAGGAGGGAGGGAGAAGGAGGAGGAGAAGAAGGGATTTCTATTTCAGCAGACATTCATAGAAAGACGGTGGCAAATTCTGTGGCCGTCTTTAAAGGAAGTGTCCTGGGACATAGAAAGAAAGAAGCCCAAAGAAGGAAAATAAAGGGCTATGATTTCCTTGTCCTGTTGCTTTGTCTCTGGCTCCCTCTGCCTCTGGAAGAGTAGCCACAGGACACAAAGATGCCCAGCTGGTCACTGCACGCCCAAGTTCAGTTTAGCTGGTGCTTCTCTCCTGTTTAGCCTGACTGCTTTCTCTGAAGGGGAGGACTCATAGCCCGACAGCCTTTTAGTTTAACCTGAAGAGTGTGTGCCGCCTCTCTCTGCCCACCCCAAGAACTCGCTGGAGGTGGAGGAGAGGGGAGAAAGAGGAGGACTTGAAAGTGCCTGAGGAGCTCCCGATGCTAAGAGGAGACAAACATTCCTGTGGACGACGCAGAAAGGACAAAGCTGACTGATTTATTGCTGTTTTCCATTTTTTTTTTTTATTTTTTTTTTTTTATCTCCCTGTCCTTTGGCGCACACCAGTGTTTGGAGATCTTTGAAAACACAAACCAAAACACCAGCCCCGAAGCCCCAACCCCTTGGCTAGCTCTTATGGGAATGAAACACTCCTCCCGCTGCCTGCTCCTAAGGAGGAAAATGGCGGAGAACGCTGCCGACAGCACCGAGGTGAGTGAGGATGCGAGCCGGAGCCGGCGCCGCGCTCCCCCAGACCCGAGCACCGATCTCTGGGCAGAAGCAGCAGTAAGTGCAGAACAACTTTCCCGGCCCCTCCGGCCAGCTCCTGCCTGCCGTGCTGCTATGGTTTCCTGCATTTGCCCCCCCATTTCCCCCCCCCCCTTCCCGGATCCCCTCCCCGCAGGCAGAGAAGTTTGCCCGGCCGAGCCCTCCGGGCGCTTGAGGCTGCCCGGGGCCGCCGCTCCGCCGCCGCTTCCCGGCAAGTTGGGTGGCCGTGCGGAGCGGAGGGTGTCGGGTCTGGGGGCAGGGCGGCGGTAAATTGGGGTGCTGGACACGCCGAAAGGGACAGACCGTCTCTTGCGGCAGCACCTCGGCCAGCTCCCCGTGCTTTCCGCCGGCAGCCTTGGCTAGGAGCGTTTGGGGGGACTTTAGGAGCATCCGTGTCTCTGCAGCAGTCTGGATGTTACCGAGACGAGATGCCCGAGGTGGGGGCTCTCCGGCTGGCCTGGGCAGTGCCGAAAATAGCTTTGCACTGCCGTCAGGCCAGGAGGAGGGTACCCTGCGATCTCTCAGGTTTTCTGCAAGAAATCCATTCCCGCCCCCCCTGCCGCCGCTCCCCCACCCGTTACCTTCTGCTTCCTCAACATTGGGGCTGAGCAGCCCCTGTTTACTTGTCTGGGGCTGTCTTGACCTCACTGAGACTTCTCAAGGGATACAGCAGTGTGCGAAGTCTCAGGTCTGGAAAAGCAGAAGGATGCAGGATGCAGTCCCAGCATCTCTGGGAGCATGTGAGAAGGAGACAGGCGAAAGTGCGAGCGTGTGCCAAACTCGCTGTTTCTATTAATAGACTGTGCCTAGCACTCTGACTGAACACTTAACACATGCTTAAGCAAGCTGCAGCACAGCCGTGCACAGACCCCGTGGACACTGCACCCCAAACAACTTCACAGCTTTGCCCTTGCAGGGGCGGCGCTGAACCTTCTCCCCAGTTACCCCGCAGAGGGAATAAAGAGCAAAACCTACTGTGAACACATGACTATTCCAGTCTTTTTTATTTCCACATCTCTGCCAAATGCCTCCTTCTTTCAGTTAGTCCTCCCAGTAGGTGTCCTGCTCGCTCATGAATTCCATCCACATTTCTCTTCACAATAGTGTTCTCTCTGCTTGACCTTCATCAATATGCCTCCTTTGCCATGCCAGGTGAAGAGCCACATTTTCTTAAATGAATATGATGTAAGCACTAAATCAACGAACATGCCTGCTACTCTGCTACTGCGCTACAACCCCATAAAGTATTGGTTGCAGAAGAGGCATCTATAAATAGCCAGAAGTCTGGCTGCACATCTGTAAACACTCGTAGTCCTGACAGCACATATTGCATTATAGGTCCCAGGATCCCAGGACAGGATTGTACAAGCACAGACAGTTTCTTTCAAAGCCATTTTTTTCAATGGAAATTGGTTTTTAGACAGGGAAAATAGGTGAAAAGAGCTCTTTAAAGATTCCTTTTCAGTTCCATTCACTCTTAGCACGTTCTTGTTGTTTAATCATGTTTTCCTGCTTGTGCAGTGCTGCACACACTGCAATGTTATTTTGTGGAGAAGGATTTTTTAAACAAAAACAGATTCATTCCAATGCTGCATACTGGCTAGGAGAATATTCAAGTGCTGTGCTTCCTCACCTAAGAGTATGCATCAGTGACAGACTTGTGAAATGAGAGGGAAAATATTGCAATTAGGCATATCCTGCTCCCCTTCTATCTTCAGAAAATCAGGAGGGATACATTTGTACCCCATGCCTAGATAATTTCCGTTTTATTGGTGTTCTTATTTCTGATATGGACTGAGGGAAGTTGTCTGTCTGCATATGTGCAGAGGTAGGAGTGCACCAAGCAAAATATGCCAAGACCTGTGAAGCTCTTTTACTTCTCAAGCATCTATATTTAGCAAAGTCATATGATACCAGTTTGACCTTCAAACCTGTATTTCTCTAACTTTCTCCTGAGATTAACAAATATGTTTGACAGAAGGAATGCAGGACAAAATATCTCACTTTTGGACTTAACACAGTGTCAGAGAAAATTAGGAATTGGTATAAATTTGCTTAATTTGAAACAAATGGGGTACCAGTAATACTCATTATTTGATACTAAATTTCTGAAGAATTTTGATGTTACAGTGAAATAGGCATGATACAAAAAAAACCAGCTGTAATGAGAGATGAATAATTTAAACATTTAACAACTGGTCAGAATTAGCCCTACTACCAAATTACTCCAAAGACCTCGTTCTTGCTTAGATTGATTTGACCCAATGTACTTGTGTTACATCTTCATAGTATATTTTTTATGTTTTAGGTTTGGTTTTCTTCTTTTAAACCTGCCACAACTAAGAGCTTTTATCAAAATTTTGGTCAAGTATGGCAAGTATACTCTTTCAGTTGTAGGACAGTTTAAAACAATGCATTAAGTCAAGGAACATGGACACTGCATAAGAAAGTTTTAATTCCCTTGGCTACCCTCTGTTGCCCATAGCTGCTACCTCGAGCTTAAAGAGCTTATGGAAATCATGACAACAGGCACAAACAAGGAAAAAACAAAGCTACAGTAAGACAACCCTCACTGTTTCCTCAAGCAGAAATACAGAATAGAAAAGCAATTGCCCACTAGCATTACTTTCCAGTCAAGGAAGACACCCTGTGTTACCAGGAAACTTAGAAAACTGAGCTCCCGTGGTTTCAGCTGTACAGACATTTACATCACTGGTATCCCCACAGCCTTATATCTTGATACAAAGCGTGATCAAGTCAGTCTGAGTGCTGCCACAGGTGCTGTTGGGCCTTGGATCAGAATATCAGAATATCAGAACGGTTTTGCAATTTATTTCACTGATAACAGCCTGATATTAGTCTATCTGCCGGAGTTTATGTAGGACAAGTGGTTTATTGTATGTGTTTATAGTACCCTGAGAATACACAGTGTTTTGTATAAAACTAAAAGTCAAGGGGGGAAAAAATCCAAGATTTTTCTATTTAGACTCTGACTAAATTCCAGGGGGTTCCTCTAATAGGAAACTTGCCAGAATGGTTTCAGATCCGTGTCTGCAGTGCACAAGGAAAAAAAGATGCAGAAAATCTTTATTGTCCATGAACATCACATTCATTTTAAGAGATGTTCCACTGGAGCAAAAGCTATAGAATCCCTCCTCAAGATACAAAAATGAACCTCTGTATCTTTTGTCACAAAAGGAGGCTTGTCTAAATAAAACAGGACTGTTTGCATAAATAACAGATGCAGAATTGCATTCTCTGCGAATAATTAAAGACACTCTGACAGAAAACAAAGTAAAAGAGAAACTGTTCTTTGTAGAACATACGCACAAAGTTCTACAAAATTCATGGTGCTGTCCTGCTGTAGATTTTTTTGTAGATTTTGTAGTTTTTCTATTTTAAATGTATTATTTGGAATCTTTATCAATAGTAGGCTTCCAGTGATGGAGAAAAAAATCAAGTGTGCCAGACTGTAACTTGTGAACGTGTGCCAGGTGAAGGGAACACAATCATAAAATCATAGAATAACTTGAGTTGGAAGGAGAATTAAAGGTCATTTACTCCCCCCACCTTGCCATGGGCAGGACATCTTCGACTTGACCAGGTTGCTCAGAGCCACATCCAACCTGACGTCAAATGTTTTCAAGGATGGGGTGTTAATCACCTCTCTGGTCAACCTGTGCCAGTGTTTTTCACCTTCCTCACTGTAAAAATTTTTTTCCTTATGTCTTGTCCATATAAAAGTCTAGTCTAAATTTACCTTCTTTTAGTTTAAAACCATTATGCCTTGTCCTATCACAACAGGTCCTGCTACAAAATTTGCCCCCATCTTTCTTATAGGCCCCCTTGAAGTACTGAGAGGGTGCAATAACCCCAAAGTGCCACAATTGCACGAAATGCCAGGGTTTATGTGCACATCCAAAAGATGCCTGTGACAGGTTAGTGTCTGACTGAAACAATCCTATAACTTGAAACTGATCTGGTTTTGTGCAATCTCATTGCTCAGTAACTTCATAAAAAGCAATTCTTGTGCTGAAGACTTCATGGTGTCTGTAGAGAGAAAAGATTCCTGTCCCATTGCTAAGAATAGAGAGATCAGTTAATTTATTTATGGCAGCATAATAGAGTTCTCCCTGAATGTCCTATTATGCAAACCTTCGGCTTTGGTTAGGTTTGGGGTAACATGCCTAATAGATGTACTTCCCTAAACAGATGAATAAAACTGATTCAGGATTATGTGATCCAGGTTAGCAAAGGTAGCTGACTATTCTGTTGTCAGAAGTGGGGAGGTTAAAGTGTTCTATCTACATGAAATCCAGTCATACCACTACCAAGGGGGGAAAAAAATATATAGAATCTATTGAAACCATGAGCTTCTGTTTGTGATTTATGAGTAGGAAGAGGGATTTCTCCTTAATAAGTTACCAAAGTAGAAATTAACAGAAGCAGAGCGGTGTGTGTAGCAGAAAATTGGACTGAATTTATTCAGTAAACCAAAATTTTGGTCCTGCTTATTGTGCTGGGTGATCTTGCAGATAGAATTTAATCCTTCTAAGCTTTTCCATTCATTCTATTGAATTCTGTGGTTCATTAGTGAAAAGTGTTGTAGGAATTTCTTATTTGGTGATATTAAATTGCTGAGAACAGCATATATGAATGAACATTAATGAGTGGGTGATGTTTACCTGAGAGAGAAACGACACTGCTGTATGGTGTATGTCTGGGACTAACAGATGTCACAAGAGGTCTGGCCTGGCATCACAGAGCCAGCTGAGGAGGCAGTTTGTAACACAAGTTTCAACCCTACTGAGTGGCCACTCATAACTTTGAAGGGGAAAAGTGGTGGGTGTGTGCAAGTAGTGTAGGTGAGCTGCACAGTCCAGACCACTGGCTCACGATCCAGAGTTTTTGCGCTGCTGGCAAGGCAGGCAGAAAGCTGACCC